GGACGGGGGAGGGGGAGGGTACAGCTGGCTCTGCCTCTAGATAGGCAGAGCCAGCAGTCAGTCACGCAGCTGGGTGGATCCAGACATAATGGTCGGGATCCGTTTCAGCTGCGGCGTCTCAGTATACTGAGCTTAGGGTGACGGCAGGACACTAGTTTGTGTCCTCCCATTACCCTGAGGAGAACTATGGGGAAAAGCCCAGACCCCATAGTTCTCCTTTAACATTTGATTTTGTTCTAGCTGTGTACAACTTACTTCAGTCTGCCCATGGTAGTAATTCCTGCTCCAGAAGTTTTTCAACAAAAGCTAAATCAAGCACAAGATTAGCGCTCCCTGGAATAAAAACAATAGCAGATGATATACTAATAGTTGGGGAAACCAATGACAAGGAATCAGCAACAAAAGATTATGATCAGTAGAAGAAACAGTTCTTGGAAAAATGTAGAGAAAAGCTCATTAAAATAAACCCGGCTAAATTCCAAATAAAACTCACCGAGGTTCCATACGCTGGAGATCTGCTAACTTCAAATGGTTTAAAAGCAGATCCAGAAAATGTGTGAGCTGTAAAAGAAATGCCTACACCTACATATATGTTTGGGGAGTTTCCTGGGTATGGTTAATTACCTCTCCAAATTCTGTAACCATTAAGCTGCCCATACACTTACAACCATCGCACGACTTTCGTTGTGCGATGGTTGTAAGGTGATTCAAATTTCGTACGATCTGCCCATCTTGGACAGGCAGGTCGTACTTGCGATGATTGCAAGCCCTCCCCGCTGAGGGGCTGGCTTCCGATGACTGCAATGCTAAGCGGGCGGTGTGCGCTTGCGCACACCGGCCCGTGCGGCATTCGTCTTCCGAGCACGCCACCAACCCGCTGACAATCGAGCGATTTTCGGCATGTTTTCCAACATGCTCGGGAGACGAAAGACGTGCAACCGTACAGTAGAAACGGTCGCACGCTGCCCATACACCTGCCGATTATCGTATGATAATCGGCAGGTGTATGGGCACCTTAAAGGAGAATTATGAGGTGAGTGCTTTTCACTCACCTCATAGTTCTAGCCGACCTGTGACAATGAGACTGTCACAGGTCGGCTCAGTAGATCGGGAGGTGAGCGAACACATACCGGGTTTGCTCGCCTCTCGATCCTGTCACAGCTCTCTGCCGTGACAGGGGGAGGGGCTGGATTCCCCTCTCCGATCTGCCAGCGCTGACTGGCGGAACGGACGGGGGAGGGGGCTGGTACAGCTGGCTCTGCCTCTAGATAGGCAGAGCCAGCTGTCACTCACGCAGCTGGGCGGATCCCGTCATCTACGTCGGGAT